AAGGATAGCTATACAGTGAGTTGACTACCATTGCTTTCCTGTACATGTGTGTTACCTTCTAAGCTAATTCTTCTCGAACTAACCTTTTCTCTAGTTCCTGGTCCCCTTCTCCTATTGGCCTCAGTTGCTTTAAAGTGTCTGCTTTAGTTTCTCTGCGTTGAGGGCAACAAATGCTATCTAGTTTTGGGGGTATTTTACCTATCCTCAGACCTTCCTTGTGTGTTCTCGCTTTATCATGTGATCAAAGTCCAATCCCCTTGTTGTGTTTGCCCTTGATCTAATGTCCGCATATGAGGGAGAACATACAATTTTTGGTCTTTTGGGCCAGGCTAACCTCACTCAGAATGATGTTCTCCAGTTCCATCCATTTACCTGCAAATGATAACATTTTGTTCTTCTTCATGGCTGCATAAAATTCCATTGTGTATAAATACCACATTTACTTAATACATTTGTCAGTGGTGGGGCATCTTGGCTGTTTCCATAACTTGGCTATTGTGAATAGTGCTGCAATAAACATGGGTGTGCAGGTGCCTCTGGAGTAACCTGTGTCACAGTCTTTTGAGTATATCCCCAAGAGTGGTATTGCTGGATCATATGGTAGATCTATGTTTAGATTTTTAAGAAGCCTCCAAATATTTTTCCAGAGTGGTTGTGCTAGTTTACATTCCCACCAGCACTGTAAGAGGGTTCCTTTTTCCCTACATCCTCGACAACACCTGTTGGTGGTGGTGTTGCTGATGATGGCTATTGTAACAGGAGTGAGGTGGAATCTTAGTGTGGTTTTAATTTGCATTTCCTTTATTGCTAGGGATGGTGAGCATTTTTTATGTGTTTTTTGGCCATTTGAATTTCTTCTTTTGAGATAGTTCTTTTTAGTTCACTTGCCCATTTCTTTATTGGTTCATCAATTTTGGGAGAATTTAGTTTTTTGAGTTCCCTATATATTCTGGTTATCATTGAGAAAGTTCTTGTCTATACGTATTAATTCCAAGGTATTTCCTACTCTTTCCTGTACCAACTTTAGAGTTTGGGGTCTGATATTAAGATCCTTGATCCATTTTGAGTTAATATTGGTATAGGGTGATAAACATGGATCTAGTTTCAGTTTTTTGGAGTTTTACCAGCAGTTTTTGTTGAAGAGGCTGCTTTTTCTCCATCGTATATTTTTAGCGCCTTTATCAAAGACAAGTTGGTTATAGTTGTGTGGCTTCATATCCAGGTCCTCTATTCTGTTCCACTGGTCTTCATGTCTGTTTTTGTGCCAGTACCATGCTGTTTTTATTGTTACTGGTTTGCAATATAGTTTGAAGTCAGGTATTGTGATACCTCCTGCATTGTTCTTTTGACTGAGTATTGCCTTGGCTATTCGTGGCCTCTTGTGTTTCCATATAAATTTAACGGTAGATTTTTCAGTCTCTTTGATGAAGTTCATTAGGATTTTGGTGGTTATTGCATTAAACATGTAGATTACTTTTGGGAGTATCGACATTTTTACTATGTTGATTCTACCAATCCATGAGCATGGGAGATCTCTCCACTTTCTATAGTCTTCCTCAATCTCTTTCTTCAGAAGTGTATAGTTTTCCTTGTAGAGGTCTTTCACATCCTTTGTTAGGTTTACACCTAGGTATTTGATTTTTTTTGAGGCTATTGTAAATGGAATTGTTTCATATATTCTTTCTCAGTTTGTTCATTATTAATGTATAGAAATGCTAATGATTTTTCTGTGTTGATTTTATATCCTGCTACCTTGCTATAGCTATTGATGGTTGGACATCTTTATTAATTACATCCTGGGTCACCAAGCCTGGGAGATGAAACAAGGAGCTCCAGTCCCAGTTCTTCTACTCCCATCTCTGTGACCTTTAGGTTACCATGGCTTCTGTTTTCTCACCTATAAACTGAATATTTTGGTCTGATGACTAAGGGACTTCCAGCTCTGACATTATGATCTTGCATTGTTTTCATTTCTTTCTGATCATTCTAAATAAGAAGGATAAGCAAACAGTCTCGGCATAGTTCTGACTCAGCAAGACCCAGAATTTACTGCAATGAAAACCTAGACGGGTCTTCTTACATTTGGAGAAAAGACGCTGTTGTGTAAAACATTATTTTTAGTTCCAGCAGAAATGAGGTCATTTCAGGGCTGCAAGGCAGCTGCCTTTAACACACCGCCCATGTTTTCGTAAATAAATCCCTGTGTTAGCCTCAGTGAAGAGGTGCACATGGGAACTCACACGGTAGTTGGTGGTTTACAGGAAGGGGGACACTCTGACAGCATTAGTACAGAAGGCCTTAGCATCCCAGTTTTCGTGGTTTGGCTTTTCCTCAATAGGCCAACAAAGTTTCATTGCCCTTTAAGCCATTGGAAGAGGAAACAAATGCCTGAACCATCTGTCTAAATAGGCCTGTCTCAGAACTCATTTGTCTCTACAACTGGATCGTTGTCCACACATTGAATGTTGACAAACACATGGGTATCCCTTGTAGCCAAGCCCCTTAACATCATGCTCAATGATACCAAAGACAATATTTGTGGATAAATATTCTATGTTTGTTAATTCTTTGACACTTGTAGAATATTGTTATGTAAAGGGCTATGTTCCAGTTGCTAGAGAACCCACTGGTAAACAAGAGACAGGGTTCTTTTCCCATGGCATTTAGCGAATAGAAGAGGCTATGAACAATAAATAAGCAAACAAGTCAGAATGTTAGAGGGTGACAATACTGTAAATGAACTAAACCAGGGTGAAGAGGAAGATGACAGGGGCTTGCTGATACTTCATGTCAGCAAAGGAAGATAGCACAAAAGAGGTGATGTTTGAGCTAAGCCTGAATGTCAGGAAAGAACAGCCCTGAAAAATCTCTGGACAAAAGAACTGGCAAAAGCAGCTGCAAAAGAAAGGAACAACGGGGTGTCTAGGAGCAAAGACATTGAGGACACGGAAGAGTGGATAGCAAAGGTTGTGCATGCCATCACAAGGGGTTTGGACCTTGTTCTCAGTCATGGAGAGCCGTTCAAGCCATTGGAGGGCTTAAGATGTGTGCATCATGACATCCACCCTGCATATTTAATGGAAAATAATGGGCTATCGGAGGTGAAGAATAAAATGGGAGATCAGGTTGGAAGCTATTGTGGTCACCTGCACTAAAGATAGTGGTGGCTTTGATAAGACTGCTAATGGGGAAGATGAGCAGAAGTCGACAGATGTGGGATCTATTTTGGAAATAAAACATACAGATCTCTTCCAGGGTTAAGGTATGGAAAATGAAATAGAAGGAGGAATGGGCTTTTGGTTTATGTGTCCTCTGCAGCTTGAGTAGATAATAGTTCTGTTCCCACTGAGATGGGAAAGCCAGGAATTGAAGGGAAAAGAGTTCAGTTTTGACCCTACTGAGGTGTAAATTAGATACCCAAATGGAACTGTAAGAAGGAAGTTGGGAATATACTTAATATTGATATATTTAAGTTAGGCTGTTTGATTTTGGCCAGAACCAACTTTAACCTAATTACTTCAGAACTAATTTTATTTTTAGCCAAATACTGTTTTCGCTGTAGACTGCTAAATTTAATACTGACAATTGTGCAAATGGAACTGATATTTGTCCTCTTGCTGCTGTGTCTTCCTTTATATTCCTCTTAACCCATCATTAGGTGATGAATTCCATTCAAAGCAAGGAAATCTGCACTGATTTCTTTGAACATTCCTTTTATAATCCTGTTTCCACTTATAGAGAAAAATTGTGTTGCTGGAAAAAGTGAAGACAAAAACATGATCTGTTTTTTGAGAGGAGGTGGTGGGCTCCCTGGGCGCGGGGTTGTACATATAGTCCCAGCACTTGGGCGGCTGAGGCAGGCGAATCCCTTGAGCCCAGGAGTTTGAGACAAACCTGAACAATGTAGTAAGACCCCCCCCCCACAAAAAAAAAAGAGCTGGGGGACTGTCACTTGTACCTTCAGAAGCTATTTACATTAGATAACTGTTTTTGGTTTTAATTGATCGTGGGCGGGGAGTTCAGTTGCATGTGGAGCAAGTCTGAATGCTGTTCATGACAATGGTCTACTCTTCTGTCAGAGAATAAATTTAGGCCATTTTTCTATCTCCATGGAGACAGTTTATTACAAATCCTACTTCTAAAAGTATTTAAAAATTAAGAAGGAATGTATCTAGTATTGTCATACCCTCTGTGAAATATACTTACTTGTTCTCTTAACAAAAGAAGACAGCAAAAAGGAAAGAATGATGGTATAAGGTGGTAATAGGGGTAGATAAGGGTTTTTTATTATTATTAATTTGGGATACAACCAAATGAGTTTTCTTATTTTAAGACTCCAGCTATGAACCCTGTTGCTCTTGGGAAAGAGGTCCACAGCTCTTCTGCGCTGGGGGAGGGAGGAGCACTTTCTCTCATTTGCTAGAACCAAGGAACCATGTCATCTCTTCCAAAGACAAATCAAGCCACTGTCCTGCTGTCATAAGGCTCGGAGAGGCAACCACAAGGCTCTCCAGGAGGCTGGTATGGGAGAGCCAGCAAACCAGGACCACAACTACTCAGCATATCCTGAATTTGTCCTTTTTGGTGGTTTCTGTTAGGCCCTTGAGTCTCCTGTATTGGAACTGTTAGAAGCTGCCATCTTGGCAGTCACACTGATCCCCAAAGACGGGTTTTTGGAAGTAGTGGAACTACAAGAGACTTAAAGGCCAGAGAGGGTGTTTCTGAATGGGGAGGAGAAAGGTGTTCCAGAGGTCAGAGGCAGCAAACCAAAACCCATGGAGTCCAGAGTGAGATGACTGGATGAAATAGGGATCTTTGACAAGTTCATGAACTACTGTGGTAAGCCAGTGACTTCTGAAGTTACATTTGGCCAGACAGGCTGCATTTGTCTGTGGTCAGTGGATGGCGGAGACAGTTGGCATCACCGCATGCTGCTGGAGTCGTGGATCCCCGCCGAGCAATGCTATTCTAGAAAAAGTAGGGGATCCAGCAGGTCTCTTTCTGGTAATAATTCCCCCAGACATACCTACTGCTGCACATTAGTGACTGTGCAACATCTGGCTTTTTTACTATTGTAGAAAATTTTGTGTTAGCTTCTGACAGTGTGCATTTCAGATTTCCTAAATGCCTCACATTCTTTCTCTCTTGCAAGCAGCTTGAATGGGAAGGTTGCCTGTTTCTAAGAGGATGATGACTTTGTCTATATAGGACCTTAACGGTTCCATTGGGCCTTTACTGTGGATAAGAAAAACAGATGGCTTTTGTTTTATACGTTCAGAAATATATTGTGACTCATGACCATATATCTAGGGCTAGAGAAAACTACAAGGGTCAGCCTAAAGTAAGATCCCAAAAATCACTTTTGAACATTTTACTTTCATTTCTCTGAACAGCAAAGTATCTGAAAGAATCCAACCGTTTTACAGTGAACATGTTTGTGTCCTTCAGTGAAATAAAGATTTAAGTAGAGGATGAACTAACGTAGAAAATTATCAACAATCAGATGGCTTAAAAACATTTATTTTTTTTAAAAGTAGAATTTATAAAAGCGAAGACATTTTTATTCTATTTAAAGAACAAACCAATCCTGTCACTTATCCTATCAACCAACAATCCTTATCAAATTCATCAATTTCTGTTTTGGTTCCTCCCAACCAAAGATCTTATTTATGTGTGTTTAAGGAAGCTTGATATTCAACTCAGTGTTTTTAACATACACACAGTGTGTGTGTATGAACACAGTTATAAATAAGTACAGGCTGAGTATCCCTAATCTGAAAATCCAGAATCCTCTGAAATCTCAACATTATTGAGCACCATCAGGATGCCACAAGTGGAAAATTCCATACCTGATCTCAGGTGATAGGACACAGTCACACACACTAAAATACTGTTTAAAATTATCTTCAAGGCTGGGTATCATGGTACACACCTGTAATCCAAACACTCAGGAAGCTGAGGCAGGAGGATAGCAAATTTGAGGCCACCCTGGGCTACATAGCAAGACCCTGCCTCAAAAAACCAAACCAAAACAAAACAAAATTACCTTCAGGTCGTGTGTGTATAAGGTATATATTAAACATAAATAAGGGACACTCACCCAGCTGTATGTGATTATCTGTTAGCATGAATTATGTATCTGCTGGTGTGGTCATGCTGCTACCTGTTGCCATAAATATCTCATTTATCCCTAACACCAGACTTCAAAACATCAGTAAAGATTCCCACTTTAGAGGCAGAGAAACAGATATTTATGCACAAGGTGACTTTCATAAGTTATAAATGGTGGAGCTAGGCTCAAACTAGTTGAAGTCTCCTGGCACCAAGACCTGAGCTTTCTCACTTTCATCTTCCTTTATTAATTAGTAGCTGTGCAGAGGTAAAAGGATCCCAGACATACATGGTGGCACCTGGGTCTCAGACAAAGATGCTTCACTTTATAGGACACTTGCTAGGATGTCCAATAGCACAGCCACTAGCCACAGGTGGCTATTTAATTAGAATGCAATGAAAGTAAAAATTCAGGTCCTCAGTTGTTTCCACCCTCATTTGAGCACTCCATAGCTGCCTGTGGCCAGTGACTCCATACTGGATGGTGCAAACAGGACATTTCCATTATCACAGATGTCTGTGAACATCACTAACAGCCAAAGGCTTTGGTCCAGGCACAAATTTTGTTTTCTGTGAGGATCTGTGATGTTTGTTGACAAGTGATGGCTATTTGGACAGCTCTGCTCTCCTGTGTCAATGTCATGTGTCTGTCAATATTCGTCATGCGTGCTCACTTTTCCTTCCAAGGAGGAAGTTGGCCGGATATGGAAGATGGAGCTGCTCAAAGAATCAGATGGGCTGGGAATTCAGGTTAGTGGAGGCCGAGGATCAAAGCGCTCACCTCACGCTATCGTTGTCACCCAAGTGAAGGAAGGAGGTGCCGCTCACAGGTGACTAGATGACTCTCCCCGCTTCCTTGCCTTTTATCCTCCCTCAACCCTTCCCTTGGTTTCTGGGTGCTAGTACTCTTCCACTTGGTCAAAACCCTGGTAATTATAGTTCATAAAGTTGGAGCACAGAAGGAAATCAGGCAAGAACAGTTCTAACTGAACACATCTCTGCATGCAGGAAGTGGCTAATTGGGGAGGATATGGCAAGATTTTCCAAATGATGGAGGAAAGATTGGATTTCTATGTAGTCCAGTTTTAGATCAGGCAAATGTTATTCATCCTAACTTTTAGGATGCTGGTACTGTGGTAATATGTGGTACTTATCAAGACTGTGCAACTGAACAGAACATCACATCCCTGACATCTTAACTCCTGTAACACTGTGAGGAATGACCTGGAAAAGTGATTGATTTTAAATGTGGCCACAGTTCATATCTGCAGCTCTGCCTGTAAGATCTATCAGAGTTTCTCACACACTTAGATACATGTATGCTTTGTGCAATTGTGAAAGGGAAAAGTAAATGTATGTTTTCCCCCTTGTGACCTGAAAACAATTCATATTTAAAAGCTTATTTTTTAATCTGAACAATTATGTGAAGTAGTAAGCACAACAGTGTTTAGCTAAGGATGTACAAAAACGGAGATCATTTTTGAGTGTGTGAAATGCAGCTATCCCAGAACATCAGGTATGCTCTTTGCCCTGTTAGTTGCTTCCATTCATATGGGACATCTACTATTTGTAGGGCATGGTGGAGTGTGTACATGTGTTGCACACCACACATTAGGTAAATTAAGGGAGTGTTGATGCAAGAGCTAAGTGTTTTATCTAATCTGGAATTTGTCAGGCCGAGTACCTTGATTCTAAAGGGGATATGGCAGTATTGGCCTGCCCAAGATGGAGAGGGGACTCAATTGTGTGACTCAGGAGGTGTAGTTGAGGAGCTAGAAGTATTTAGGTGGAAGAATGGGAAATTAAGAAGAGCAGGACATAAACTAGCAAAGTGTTCCTGCTCTTCAGCCTTCTTTGAGAGTAGAATGCTAATAACTGAAGCAGAGATCCAATGAACTATAGCTGTCAATTGTCCAGGTGACAGTAATTATTAAAAGATTAAGACTTGAGATGGTTTTAACCCAGATGAGCATTACTGAACTTCCTGAATGGCACATGCCCTAAGGAGCTCCTATTAAGGAGCCATTTTCCCATTAATCCTAGGTCTTATGTTCTAGTCTATTTTTGGCAAGTTGACAATTAGAAAATTCCTGTGCCCAGAGATAAGCTTTATGTGGAACTGTTCTTGCCTATTTCACATCAGAGCCATTTCTGATGGTTTCATCATTTTCTTTTCATTCTTAGCCTGGAGTTGTGTGTCTCTTTCTAACTCTTGTGTGTGATTCAGAAGTGGATCATTCTAGTTGATAACAGGAGATGAGAGAAATGGAATTAAAGATCAAAATAGCAAGTGGGATGGGGCTGGGATGGTCTTCATGACATTGTGGACAAGTAAGCTAGGACACTGGCCAAAGTCATTGAACTTACGTGAGAATCCTTCTCCCCCAAAATGATCATCTCCTGAGTGTCTCACCCACACGCCTCCTTGAGATGACAGTTAATTTCTCCCCTCAAATTTTCCCCATTCCCTTTCTGTCACCATTCTAAGCAACTGATGGGGCCCTTAGCATTACTCTCCTTCAGGGATTCTTAAAGAACAGAAAGCAGAGGCTGTTGGAAGTCTTTGATGCTTCCAGTCTTCTGTTAATTCATAGAAAAGATTATGATATTTATTGTAAAGGAAGGGGATAGAGTGAAAGAGAAGCTATTGAAGGTCAGAAGAGGCAGGTAAGGATGAAAGGGGAGAAGCTGGTTGATTAATTGAAAGGAAGCATGGATAGAGAGTCTACAGATTAGAGACAAGCAGAGCTGGGTGGATCTGGGAGGACTGCAGATGCATCTGGGTTCCACAGCAGCACCTGGTACTGAGATAAAATCTTTAGAGGAGTCGGGGTAGAGCCACAGCGGAGGTGCTCTACCACCACACCAGATTTCTGTCCCATATTTAGCAATCTCTGACTCCTTTTAGATTGTGTGATACCAGACCATTGGAGGCTCAGACCTGCCCAATGCTCCGGCTTAGTGTGACACTGAGGTCCTTGATCTCCCTCAAGGAGACAAGGAGTGACAGCGTAATCTCCTGCCAGCCCAGTAGGAAGGAACCCAGAGTCAGCCATAATTTAATTTAAATTAAAAGAAATAAAGAAAGAGAAAATATTTACATACCCATGTTATAGGCCAGGCCTATTTTTGCTACAATGGTAGCAAATTCAACAGTTTTTTTTAATGGAGCCTTCTGCTTCTGAAGCTTGGCTTTAGGGACCCAAAAATGAAAAAAGCACTGAAGAGAGGAGGTGCCATCCTCAAGGTCCTGCAGCTCTGTTAGGAAGGCGGGGAGGTAGAGACATGTACAGCATAGTATCAGTCACAGACGCCCCTGAGGAAATCTGGTGAGGGTCCTGGGAAGAGAGAAACCAGTGGGTTAAGAAGGGACTGCCTGTGGGTTTAGGATGCCTTGGCTGTCTCTAGACTTAGTTCAGTGACTCTGTCATCAAGGCAGGATGGCAGACAGGACTTAGAAAGGAATGACTGAGCCAGGCATGTTGGGACACATATATAATCTCAGCACTCAAAAGGCTGAGGCATGAGGAGACCAACCTGGGCTATCTCAAAAAACCAAGAGTTGGGAGAGTGCTTACCTAGTATACACAAGACCTGGGCTTAATCCTCAGAACCACACACACACAAAAAAAAGTTTCCTGAAACTTTGGGGATCTTGGTTTCGCTACCACCATCTCCATCTCCACCTGGATAGGAGCTTCATTGATACTGATGCCAGATATGGGGAAACCTTACATCGTGCTTATTGCTAAGTGACCAACTGAAACCCTGCAGCTTTTCACTCTTCTGGTGGGAATCTAGATACAAAAGTTAAAGCAATCCCATCCAAACCATCTGGTTGTCACCACTTCCTCTATCGCCCAGTTCTAACTGTCCCTTCTCAGGACCTTCCCTTGTTCCTTGATATTGACCCTTCTCAGGCCCAGATTGTCTTGACAAGGGATTTTTTCCATCTCCCTTTCTCAGGGATGGCAGACTGTCCTTAGGAGATGAGCTGCTGGTAATCAATGGTCACTTACTGGTCGGGCTCTCCCATGAGGAAGCTGTAGCCATTCTCCGCTCAGCCACTGGAATGGTTCAGCTGGTGGTGGCCAGCAAGGTAGGTCATTTTTCTGTCTATTTTTAAAATATTTTTAATGTGGTGGTGCAGCTGGATTTGAGCCCTCCCCATGCCTCACACAGATGTGTGTGTGTGCTCGCATGTTTATCTCGTGCCAGTAAATAACTATGAATCCACAGGGCAAGCCCACAAGGAGATCCTTAGCTTAAGTGCATTGAATTATTTTGCTTTCTTTTCAGGGGCTTTAAAGGTTTATGTTAGGAAATGGAAAACAGTGGAACTAAGGAGATGGTAAGAATGGCAGAGTGGGAAGGACAATGTAATGGAGAAGCAATTCTTCCTCGGAGAAATGGAAGAGGAGGTGCAGAAGTGAAGATATCAGGGAAGAGGGAGGCATGAATGTGTTAGTCAGTTTTTCATCACTGTCATGAAATACCTGAGATAAACAACTTACGGAAGGAAAGATTAATTTTGCCTCACAGTTTCAGAGATTTCAGTTCATGGTCAGGTGACTCCATTGTTTTTAGACCTGTGGCAAGGTAGAAACATCATGGTGAAGACAGGGCAGAGGAAAGCTGTTCACCTAATAGTGGCCAGAAAGCAAAGAGACACAGAAAGGAAGAGGCTGGGGACAAGATATACCCTTCAAAGGCACACCTCCAGCAACCCACTTCCTCCAATCAGGTCCCACCTTTCAGTTTCCACCACCTCCCAGTTATCCAATTATGGATCTACCAATGATAACTCCATTGATGAAGTCACAGCTCTCATGATCCAATCACTTGCCAACATCCCTACCTCTGAACATTGTAGTGGGAACCAAACCTTCAATGCACAAGCCTTCCAGACACATTCCATAACCAAAACAACAGTAGAAATTGCTTCTTCCAAGTCCAGAAGGAGGAAAGACTCAGGGCCTTCCACTGGCAGGCCAGAGGCCCTGGTTTTATTTATACTCTCACATAGTATTACAGCTGGAAGAAACCTGTGAATCCTTCATCCAAGCCTTCTGTTCCTCTCCAGTTTTACAGAAGAGGCAATAAGGCAGAGCATCCATGGTAGCTACTATTTTTCAGGGACTACAAGGCCATCAGCAGTGCCAGGCACTGGGCTCTTGGCACACAACCTAGTGTCTGTCCCCTCCTGCTGCCCTTCTTCTTTGTGGCTCTCTCTACACAGTGTCCTGAGGCTCCAAGTGGGGGCTTCTTTCACCTACACTCCTCACGTGTGTTGATGGAGTGCCTGTGTTGTCATCCCCCAGCATCTGCCTTCTCCCCCAAGTCTCACCAGCCTTAAAGCTCTGGAGAAAGACTTCAGACTCCGGAGCCCCAACAAGGAGGCAGACACTGGCCTCTCTCCTTTGTGCTCTGTCCTCTGATTACGCTGTTGAAGAGACTAGGAAAGAATCTACATGACTGAGAAGTTCATGAAGGGGGTCACAGGGGTTCATTCTACTTACGGCTGGGAAGAACTGGTGAAAGGCTACAAACATCTTAGCCCTTCGCAGGACTGTGCTGTTGGCAGTAAGGGTAATGCTTTTCCCATTAATTCCCATTGTTATTTGTGAGTCTGACATCCATAGGTTCTCATGCATGTTCCCTTTAAGATTGCAAGACCCATTGCCAACCTGAGGAGTACAATTAGTCCTCCATGAGTTCAGAACCTATAGGCTCAACCAACCTTGGATCAAAAACATTTGAAAAAACAATTGTGTCTACAGTGAACACATGCAGACTTTTTCCCCTTGTCATTATTCCCTAAACAATACAATGACTGTTACCGCATTCACATTGTATGAGGTATTAGTAATCTAGAGCCTGAAAGTTTACAGGAGGATATGTGTAGGTTACATGCAAATCCTACATTATTTTATATGACGGACCTGAGCATCCTTATATTTTGGTGTCCATGATTAGAAGCAATCCTCTACAAGTACAGAGGGACAGCTATATTTAACAAATAAATTAGAATTCCATTTTGAGTGATCTGCAAAATCTGCTTTCCTTCCGTCACACCTTTTACCCACAACCCTTGACTGAGTCTGATGCTTCCAAAAGGACTTTACAGAGGCTTGGGAAGACTCAGTAGGAAGCGTAATTTTCTCCTCAGCTCAGAGAGAATCAGTAACCACCACAGAAGGATGTCATGAAGATTAGAGGAGATGGAAGGGCCCTGAGCAGAGTGGCTGGTCAGAATGAGCACAGAGAAACATTTGCCCTCATGTTTATCACTTAGTGTATGTCTAGTTTATTGTTCAAAACTCTTGAAAAAGAGTTGACATCACAGAAGAGAAATGAACTCACCTTTTGTTTAATAATAGCTTTTTCCTTTCATTAGGTAAGGACTAACAGCACAGCATTCATAATTACTGATCTGAAACAATATTCTTCGGGTTCCTTGTTTCCCAAGGAACTGACCTTAGGGGCTACCTCACTAATAGTGTGTGAAGTCCACTGTTTAAGATGGGTTCTCTTCTATGAACCCTCAAGCAATATGCTGATTAAAATTTGCCACATGTTCCCTTCCCTGTGGAAGTGGCTAACATGGGAAGATGAGGAGAGATAACCACAGCTGTCTCACAGGACTTAGCTCAGCTCTGTAGCCCTGGACCCCTCCCTGGGACCTGGCCTTGTGTTTGATCACATTTCCCAAGAGAGTGCCAGGCCCCTGTGTGTTCCTCATTTGCACTTGGGTTTGTCATGAGCACTTAATGACTGAATCTGCACCCCATACCTGCTCCAGCCTTCTGTGTGCCTAGGAGCAAAGGACTTTGTTGGCGAAGCCCCCTTGGAGCCTAATCCTACTGGAGTTTCATGTATCATTGTTGACCTTTAAAAGTTGTTCAAGGGCTGCTTTCATTGAAGAGACACTGTCATGTCTTCAAGTTGGTGTTTTGATCCAATAAACAATCTAATCTCTTTCTAATGAGCTTATGCTAATGAGGTGGCCAATTGTGGGGAAGGAGGACATAATGGGTATTTGAGCTCTGTGTTAGGCCTGGGATGTGGTGATGAATAGAAAAGTTGGGTGGAGGAACTGGCAGACAAGTGAAGCTAACCGAATCCTGAGGATGAAGGAAACAGTCAAGGACATTAGAGAAGAAAGGAGGGCGAGTGGAATGCCTTCTGACATGCTCCAGAAGGTAGTCATGAGTTAAGGGCGGTCTGAGCATCAGGCGCTGTTGGGGGAAAGGGGGATGGGCAGGGAGAGTGAGAAGGATTTGAAATGTCTTGAGGGGAGATGTGGGCTGAAAGGGAAGAGGAGGGTTTGGAGAGCTATTCAGAGGCCAGGTCTGTAAGATGCTGACAAGCCCATAACAGGGCTTACACCCCACCCTGAAGCAAGACACGAGAGGCGCTTGAGGGATCTGAAGTTCACGGGTGGGATTGCCCATGAATTGACCTCAAAACCCCAGATTCTTTAGGGAACAAGAAAAGTGATTTGGGCTTACACTGGGTCCCTACGTCTGTCATTGACAGCAACCCTACCATGTGGAACCTAAACTCCACATGCTCTTTGGCTTGATATCAGGTTAATTTCCAGAACTGGTTGGTGTCAGTGGATAATTCCTGGGCCTTTTGTGTGTCCCCACAGGAGAACTCTGCAGAGGACCTCCTCAGGTTAACATCTAAGAGCTTGCCAGATCTGACCAGCTCTGTAGAGGATGTGTCGTCTTGGACCGACAACGAAGACCAGGAGCCAGAAGGGGAAGAGGAGGAAGGAAGCGGATCTTCTGTCCGGGGAGCAGTAAGTGCACCTCTGGGTTTCCCAGGCTGCTCTGTGGGAATGGTGTTTCTCTGAAGACATGACGACAGGATCAGAGGAGAAATGCCAGAGATAGTGATAGAGAGCAGGATGGGAGACAACCACAGCACATTCTTTCTATATTTTCCTCAGGATGTTCTGGAAACATCTATGAGAGTGACGCATTTCATTTAAGAAAAAAAGATTGAAGTTGTAAACAAGATAAGAGAGCAACTGCTATTGAGTTTGGTGCATGTATTAATTTTTTGGACACTTCATAATGTACACAAGGCTTCTGTTGCTACTTCTTGATAGAGTTAAAAAAAAGTCAATCAATTTGAACTTAGATGTCAAGATTTTTGTTTAAACTGGCCTTGGTGGCTCTGGCCTGTAATCCCAACTACTCAGGAAGTATAGACAGAAGGCTTATGGTTAAGGCCAGTCTGGACAAAAATTTAGCAAAACTTTATCCCAAAAACAAACTGGGTGTGGTAGTGCTCACCTGTAATCCCAGATGCTCAAGAGACAAAGATAGGAGCGGCAAGGTTTGATGATAGCCCAGACAAAGCTAGCAAGACTGTTTTTAAAAACAAGCTAAAAGCAAAAGGGCAGGGGGCATAACTCAAGTGGTAGAGCACTCACCTAGCAAGCTTGAGGCCCTGAGTTCAAACTACAGTGCCCCCACAAAAAAAGTTACGGTTTAAAGTAGATTGTTAACATAATACAAAAAACATTTAGGCAAATTTGTGTAGAATACATCTTCCAATTTTATTCAAACAAGGACACCTGCACAGTGTTACTCTTCGTACACAGCCGATGATGAATCCTAACCTCAAGGTCTGCTCTGCTGCCTGACACACACAGCCAGTCAATCAGGAAGGTTTTGACAGCTCACACTGCGACTGCATGATCTCTTCTTTGTATCCCAGGTCTGAAAGTGGTACCATTTTTAGTGTAAACTCTTGTAGCCTTCATTTCCCATCTAAGCAGCCATGGAGAGGGCACTTCTTTTCAGTCATTTGAAACCCTTTGCTCCTTCCCACTGGCTCTGAACCTAGGTAGCATGGGTAAGCATCAGAAAATCAGCCTTGCTGGTCATAAGACCTTCAAAGGTAGAAAATAATAATTACGCACCTCATTATAACACTTTAAAAGAAGTTGACAGGTGTGGTAGTGTACACCCATAATCCCAGCTATTGGCAGGCTGGGGCAGGAGAATGGCACGTTCTAGGCCATCCTGGACTAGCCAAGGGCTGAGGATGTAGCTGTATGGTAGAGTGCTTGCCTAGCATGCCCAAGGCCCTGGGTCTGATCCCTGTTCAGGGAGAGAAGGTTGCTTCTTCTTTCCCTTTGGTCCTTGGAGACCAGGGCACTGAGTATGGTGCAAGTGGTGGACTGCACAAAGCTATCCCATCTGAGGGGGCACCATTTATTTCATAAACATCAAAAGCCTCTGTATTTATTATAACAATTTTCCAGAAGTTGGCAGTAAAGAGTTTCACTCTGAGCTGGGTGCTAGTGGTTCACTTCTGTAATCCTAGCTACTCGGGAGGCAGAGATCAGGAGGATCACGGTTCAGAGCCAGCTTGGGCAAATAGTTCGTGAGACCCTAGCTCAAAAAACCCTTCTCAAAAATAGGGCTGGTGGAGTGGCTCAGGCTGAAGGCCCTGAGTTCAAGCCCTAGTACCACCAAAAAAATAAGTTTCACTCTAACAAAATTGATTAATTGTGACAAATTTCCAGGATTATTCTGTGGGCTCAGGGTTGATTTCAAATTTCTTTCCAACTGCTTTCACCCAAAGGAGAGCTTTCTCCAAAGACCAACCTGTGGAAGCAAGTAAGCCTGAGCTGAATGAATGGGGTTGAGGTGACCAGTTTAAAACAACTCTGTGATTATTCTTATGTCTTTATATTCAGTGCTTTCCTGTCATTTTCAGTGAGTAAAGACTAAACTGATTTTCACAGTCTACACTGCACTCTGTGACTGCCGCCTGCCTGCTTCTCAGACCTCACCTTGCTCCAAGCTTACGGTGACTTCTCTGCCTTCCCATGCCCCCTCATGGTGGCTACACATTTCCTGCCTCAGAACCTTTGTGAATGCTGAATGTCTCGTGCAACCCTCTGCACAGTTAACTCATACTCATCTTTTTGATCCCATAATGTTACTTCTTCAGAGAAACTTTTCCTACACACCGTATCTATATTAAATCTCCCTTCTCTTGCGCCACAACCATGCATGTGCCTTTCCTGTGACAACTTGTCACAGATTTGTTTGGTAAGCATTTGATTAAGGTGTGTTCCTCCCATCCAGTTGTGAATGAGGTGGGGGAGCCTGATGACTGGCTTGGTGGATCTGTAGAATTTAGACAGTGTATCTGGTTGTTGAATCAAACACTAAATAAATAAACAGGGCTGCCAGAGCAACTCAAGCACAACTGGCACCTCATGGTCCAGCATCCTCAGGAAATAGGGCTCAAAAACCTAAAAACCACAGAGCAAGCATTCACTGGAAACCTGCTGTTTTCAGGCTCTGTGCTAGACCCAGGAAATAATGAAAATTGATGATGACGTCTTACTAGGCTTATCCACCATTGAGTTTTACAGTTGTTCCTCTTGTTCCACTGGCCACGATTGACCACAGTATGGCAGCCTTAGAGTCTTTGGAGTCTACATTCCAACCTCACTGGCCTGTAGGGACAGTGCTGGGTGTGCCTTGAACATGCCCCAGTGCCACACATCTCCTTCCCACCACCTTCTCCCTCTCCTCTGCACCCACCCTTCAAGGCCAAGGTCTTCTGTGAGCCCTTCCTCTGTGTGACCTCCAGGGACTCTGTGTCCCTTGTCATCCATAGTGTACAAAGAGGTGGGATAGATGCAGGAAGGTCATAGACCTTTGATTTCTCAAAATTTTAAAGTTGTGTTCTCTTGTAAAAATCACAAAATTAGTTAATTGGGAATTTTTTATACTAAAGGCTGCTCTTATAAATGACCCATTACATATATTCAATATAGTCCATGTGATATATTTTATATATTTTCCTTAAATTATAAACTTACAATTTTTATAAATGTGCTTTTCTAATTTATTATAATGTAAATTATCACATAATTTAAATAAATTTTTCTGATAAGAGAAGTAACATTTCACTAAATAAATGTTTTTGACCAGTAGTCATCTTTGACATTTTGACATTTTTTATGACTTTCTAATTGAATTTTTTTCCTTAAGTTTATACATATTTTAATTGACCTTATAAAGACACTCTTATGAAATTTGCTGTGGTCTTCATAAAATACTAATGAATGTTCCTCTGTCATGAAAGGTCTTCTGAAACACAGTTCATAATAACTAATACTCCACAGCATTGGAGCGCCATAAATTCTGGCACCAACTGGTTTCACCACTCAATTGGTATCATGCTCAGTTTTTTAAACCACAAACAATTCTGTACATAACATCTTTGCCTGTATATGTCCGTGTGTTTGTTGTTGTCTCCTTAAATAGCTTGTAGCAAAATTGCTTGACTGTGACTACAGGTTTTCTGCAGACAGGTCACATTAATCAACTCCGTAGCAGTGGCCAGTTTGCACCACCATTAGCTCTCTCAAGTTTAATAATTTAATCACATACTGCTCTTTGTTTCCATTACTGTAGTCTTTCCAAAGGAGCTTCAGTGCATTCTATCACAACAACTTTGTTTTGGAAACTTTAAGGAGACACTAATGAAATTCAGCAATATGTCACCAAAAGTATACATGTTGTCAGTGTTGCATTTCTGGGTTTCTCTGTCACATCACCCCCGGTTGTCAGACACAAATCCTGAATGAAGAAATCAGCAGTGATCCTACTCAGTCTCCCTTCTGCATGCCTCTTCCACTCCACCCTCTCATCAAGGTCTCACTGAGGAGTGGTCCCAGGCATACACCGTTTCTTAGCCACCTTCTTGAGCCTGCTTTAGGGACCCAGCCCTGCAGAGGCAGAAGTATAGAGATAGTTGTGGGATGTAACAATTTACTAGGCTCTGCCCCGCTGGGCCTTATAAAAGCACTGAACTATTGAAACAAATAAAAAATATATATATGTCCACAATCCAAGATTCTTGTTTTATAACTTTTAAAAATTAGAGAACCCTTAAACAAACGAAATGTAGTGCTCTTTTAGTCACAGCTGAGTTACAAAGCTGCGCCCACCTCCACCCAGACAGTGACTGATTTTGCACCTGTAAGTCATGGTGCGCCCAGCACTTAAGTTGAGCAAATGTCCTATAAATGCTAAGGATCTCCATGAATCCCCTTTGATTTATTTTCCATGGCTACAATAAATAGCAACGAGATTTTCTTTTCAAAAAACTCATCCTTGTTCAGAATAAAACCATATGGTGAATATCAACTTTGAAGACTAGCAGCAGGAGAAAAGGGGGGGATGGAAAAGGACAATGAAATGTCATGATCATTGGTGTAGTGGCCATCCATCTCATGGGATCTGGCTCTCGTGAGGGGGGTGGCTCTCCATTGTCCATCTTCATTGTCACTACCACCGCATCCATGACTTTTCTGAGTCTGGGCTCAGAAGTCTCTAGGTCCAGCCTCCTCCTTCATCCTGCCTATGGTCCTAGCCTACTGGATGGCCATTCTTCCTATAGTCTCTCAAATCCCCTTCATTTTCTGCTCTGCAGTGACAATGCTTTAAATTAGAATCTGGCATGTCACTTAAGTATTCGATATAATTCAGTGGCTGTTAGTCACCCTAAGGTTAAAATCCCAACTCCTGAATGTAGAATACAGCCAGCCCTTTTCATCCATGGGTTCTGCACCAGCAGGTTCAACAAACTCTGGAGTGAAAATATTCAAAGGAAAAATATTGTGACTATACTGAATATGTGCAGACTTTTCTTTTTGTCATTATTCCTGAACAAGACAGAATAACAACTACTTACGTAACGTCTGCATCGTATTAGGTGTTGTAAGCCATCTAAAGATGATTTAGTCTACAGGAGGCTATA